AAAAGAAGTAGGGAGACGGGAAAAGAATACGGGTAGAATTGGGGGATGAGGAGATATGACAGACTACCCCAGGGACTGCTGTGTATCTATAAAATCTTCTACTATATCTATAAAGGAGAATGTCCGTCTCTGTCCAAAGTCGGAGGCCAGATGTTTGGGGCTAGTCTCAGTAAACGTTGCATGGTTAAACGAATTTATGTAGTGTCAAAGGGATGGGGGGGGGGGTGATGGGGGTTGCCCTCCCGTGCTATTCTTGAAAGGGGTAGAGGGGGTTGTAAAGTCGGTCTCTATACCCCCTTTGCAAAGCCAGTAGAAATGAAATATTTCACCCGAAGTCCGTAGAGTTTAGCATTCGTTTAATATTAGTGAAAAAAAAGTCCACTTCATATAGTCTAGGGTAGCTGCACTAATGCAGATGTACCTAATATGTTAATAAAAAAAAAAGTGAAAAAAAGTATACTCAGGTATTGACTTGGAAAACGTATGTTCAACAGATTTGTATTCTGGGTGCAACCTTTTAGTTAGTGATGGAAATTGTGTGCAGGAAAATGGTTAGAGTAATGGAGGGAGACAAGGAAGGTATGTGAGAAGGTAATAGAGAGGGAGTGGCAGGGGGGTGCTGGGAGGGTATGTATTCACCTAGTTGTGCTTCCGGGGGTTGAGCTCTGCTCTTTTGGCCCGCTTATCAACTGTAAATTAACTGTTACTAATTACTAAAAAAAAAAATCTCAACACACACACACTTCCCTACCTGCCTAGGAAGCAGCCGGTAAAAGCTGTCCAACTCCCAGGTACCTATTTACTGCTAGGTAACAGGGGCATCAGGGTAAAAAACTCTGCCCATCTGTTTCCGCCGGCGCCGGGAATCGAACCTCGGACCACTGGATTACGTATCCAGCGTGCTGTCCACTCAGCCACCAGACGCCCTATATTTTAGTTGGGGGTGGGAAGAGATTGGGGAGATGGAGAGGATGTATAGGGGGGGGGAGATGGTGTGAAGATGTTTACAGTAATGAAAACTGTGTATTGAATGTTGACAATAGTTGTTGCGATGGGGGGAAGGTGTTTGAAGGGGGACGGGTGTCTGTGGGGAGGGGGAGGGGAGGGATTTGGAAGGGGGAAGTCAGGATAGTGAACAAATAGAATGCGTTAAGAAAAGTGGTGAGAGCAAACTCCATACACAACCCAGCTCGCAGGCTTCGATTCAGGGTCAAGAGGCGCGATCCAAGATCCGGAGCTCGTCCTCTGCAAATACAAAAAGGCGAGCACAACTAGACGAGCACTGGCCCCGCCCCAATCAAAGTTGGGAAGTACCATAACTGTCTGAGGGCACGTCCACCGCCTGGCTCACACTCGCCTCCTCCTGTGACTGTAGCCTTTCCACCGCTCCCGCCCACTGATGGGTGCGGGCTGCATCATAACACAAATTCAAATAACATGTAACTAGCTCAACGCAAACGACTCAACTTAAAGGTGGAATCCAGTACATAAAACCTCTCTATCTCACCTGCAGGATGGGTACGGGACCCATAATACACTAAAAAAACTCTCACTCATCAGGCATCTTGGGGTGACGGGGACGTTAGTTTGAAAATCTGGGAATATAGCCCATAGATATATGTTAATTAATGTAAATTGTTCACCAGCTTAAGTTGTCTAGCTAAATTAATTTAGGGTTCAGTTTCTGAGCCGCGCGCGCGCGCGCGTTCGTTCGTTCGTTCGTTCGTTCGTTCGTTCGTTCGTTCGTTCGTTCGTTCGTTCGTTCGTTCGTTCGTTCGTGCGTGCGTGCGTGCGTGCGTGCGTGCGTGCGTGCGTGCGTGCGTAACCTTTTCTACAGGTGTCCACAGGATGGGTAGGGCGTGAGTAATTAATGAACTAACCAAACATTAGCCCACCACTTGGTGTTACATCATGATAATCCTTGAATGTGATGAGTCACCCAGTAATTCCGCGGCTCTCCCAACCAATAGGAGCGTGTCCAGGGGTCCCGGGTCCTCCCGGCCCAGTAGCACGCCCTCCTTGCTCTCCTCCACCACGATTAAACAAACATTTACGCATCTACTTACGAACCTGTACATCTTTTCTCAAATTTTTGTGGCTTTGTTTACAGTTATTAAACAGTTTACCAGCATCTACACTTCCCAATCAAATAAACATTGTTATAAACAGTCTCCTAATGCTTCAGAGCTCATCATAAACGGTTGTAAACAAAGCCAAAATATCGAAAAAAGATGTGCAGGTTCTTAAGTACTTGCGTAACTGCTTGGTGAATCCGGCCCCTGGGGCTCTACAACCGGGTCCATAGACACCCATTACTCTCCATCCCTGTGGCCAAGGCGTTATATATACTTAATTCGGGACAATAAATACCAGAATTCACAAAAATTCTATCCTGCAGCTATTTCTTTTAGTTCCATGCTTGCCGCATCCTTGCCAAGCTTGTCGCATCCACCACCATACGTAGCCAAGGTACCAGCGCTGTTTTCAGCAGCCCGTCCTCCTAAGGTTTACCAACGCCAGAAAAACGGTCAATTTAAAGTGTCCTCTCCTAACCAACAAGAGGACCCAAAACAGAAAACGGGACAACACGTCAATTTCGCTAGCCGCTTCCATTTAAAAAACGACAGTTTTTGCCCTTGTGTAACGCATACGCGCGAAAAGCGACGTTCTTTGTAAGAGGACAGGTTGGTTTCAGAATACAACAAATACAATATAAATAAATCAATACTTGAGGGAATACTGCCTCCGATGAGCTGCTGAAGAGACCTTTTTACACGCTACACGTCGAGCCACGCCCTGTCGCAAACACACTCCTCATTTTTTTTTGTTTTTGTAAGCTCAGAACTTACCCCCATAAAAGAATTGGCGTCACTCGGTCTGTCATGTTAACTGGCACCCGTCCAGTTAACTAACGCGGTATTGTCAGTTAACTAGACGGGTGACTGTGTGGACAGCCTATTCCTCCTTGGAAAGGGCAACATGGATAAGCCTCCTGTTCCATGGATGCTTCCTGTTCTCAACAACAGTATACCGTTGTTTGTTTATAAATAGTAGTGAATTCCCCTAGTTGTATTCACATAGTTGTGCTTGAGGAGGCTGAGCTCTGCTCTTTCGGCCTGCCTCTCAACCGTCAATCAACTGTTACTTGGCTAACTGATTAATAATTGATTGATTACTAACTAATTCCCCCCCCCCCCCACACACAGGAAGCAGCCCGTAACAGGTGTAACTCCCAGGTACCTATTTACTGCTAGGTAACAGGGACATCAGGTTGAAAGAAACTCTGCCCATTTGTTTCTGCAGGCCCCGGGAATCAAATCAAAAGAACGGGCTGGAGAGATAGTGCCAGAGCTTAACCCAACTAAAGTGGTAATTGACGCAGATTTGGGAAGCAGAACAGTAATAGTGACCTCTCTCAGGTTGCCAGCTGTACGAACACCAAGAGAAGCCGAATGATCTCAAATGGATAACTAAGGAAAATTGGATGTCTTTAGGTCGACACGTCCAGAGAGAGAAGCGTCAGGGCGGTATTAGTGTTAGTATTTGGTTTTGCTACTGGTTTTTGGGTATATTAGTGGTGTGCTGATTAATCAATTAGCCAGGTGAAAACGTTACGAGGGCTTGGGTCTGTCTAGAGTGTTGGTGTGGAATGCGACAGTAGTTGTGTGTGGTGAGTCAGATATTTGTCTGGCTCTAACGTGTTCCCTTCACATCTGACGCTAATATATTTGCCCTCAGAAGGAGTCTATCACCTGTGACGTAGTCCTGCCAGGGGAAGTGCCAAATATGAAAATGTTGTGGTTTTTCTGAAAAGTGCTAAAGTTCTTTAAGTTGAACTTGACTGAAAGGAAGAATGTGATGGGTGCGTATGAGAGTGGTGAAATACAGGATTAATAAAGGTGTCGCTTAATTTATGCCTGAGGTGTTTAGGATGTAGTGCTGGCTAACGCCTTTTTGTGCACTGTCGTGTTTCGGAGGTATGTGCTTATGACTGCGGAGTTTGTGGGCAGGTGTGATGGCTAGGTCTGTAGTTGTGCTGTATACAGGCAGGCGTGTCTGTACGGGTGAGTAAAGTTTGAATTGGATTGCGTTTAGGAATTTGTTATTGAAATACAGTACATGATCTTGAAGATGTTGGATTTCGAGCGCGTGTTGTGTTTAATATCGCGGATTGCAGTCACCGCGTTGAAGAGAAGAGGCAAGCATCCAGAAGCAAGAGAGGCATTGTGCGTGTCTGTAAGGGTCGTGATGTGTCTGGGATTCCTCGTACGAGGGTTTGGTCAATGTCTGATGCACCCGGGAAGTCTCAGGGTGTGCCAAGCAGCACGTCTTGGCTTCCTCTTAGAGAGGTAGCGAGTTGACAATCAAAATTTAGCCGAGGTCGATTACGAGATCAAGTGTTGACTGTTCGGAATTTTGACGGTTCCAAGGTTGTACCGTGTGCGTGCTTTGTAGTCTGGAAAGTTTGGGGAGAGGTGGCGGGGGGGGGGGGGGGTGAATGTTGATGATTCCCACCACTACTACAAGACATGTGATGTTAAGGTCGCTGCGAGTAATGTTCGTGAGCGTCGAGTGCCTTGTTGCATCTGGTTTTTGTTATGACATTCCAGAACTGCTGGGGAAGGTGGTTTTGTGTGCTGTTCTGCCTTCAGTTCAAGTCTACATCTCGCCCTCCCCGTCCAGCTCACACCCAGACCTATAATCCACAAAATGGCAGCAGGATGCTGCTTTCTGGAAAATTCCTTATTAAGACTGCTCAATAGCTCGGTCGATAGAGCTTTGGCTCTATCAAACAGGCTATTTCCAACATCGGACTACGTGCAGTAGCGACATATTTTAGACCAGTAGTAGGCTGGTCTGTCATTAAGAGACCCCAGAAAATACTGCTGCCAGATTACACTGACGAAAGAGTTTAGCAAGTGACATACCCGAGTACGACAACCTTTACTGCCCTTGCTTATGTCTCTTCTCTTGTAACCACTGACCCAGCGTTCTCTTACCTGAGTGATGCCCAGCCTTCTTGATCACCAACTCTGCAAACGATACAATACCTAAAATTATTGTACTGTATTTACTCTTTTGCAATTAAAAGATAAAAAATATATATGAAATGAAATCAAACTGTGTAGTCTAAACATATATTAGTTTGTTTAATAAGTATGTACACACACAAACAAATAGGGATTGGTGTTACTTTACGCACGAGTTAAGGCAGAGGTAGGTGGCCACAGATTATGTGGGTACCAAGACTGACTCAACACTGTACTGACTTACCTGACAATGAATGTTGTTCGTTAATACTACAACATCCGCGGGGAACACAAGTAATAATACACTCAAGTTTGGCTGACAACCGCAGCGTCGGCACCACCGCTGCCGAATCTGTAGCTCTTGTATAGTTATACAGACCTGAAAGCCATACAGAAGCACCACTGAGCCACCTGAACCCTTAAGTGTTGATTCAACCCCCAACCACTTGGGCTGGACTGTAAGGCGACGGTCTTGTTTCACACAGGTCGCCGTTCAATCCCCGACCATCCAAGTGGTTGGGCACCATTCCTTTCCTCGTTCCATCCTGAATCCTTATCCATTCCAAGTGCTACATAGTCGTAATGGCTAGGTGCTTTCTCCTCATAATTCCCTTACCTTAAGAGTTCATTTCCAGAATTGGTGCAGTAAGTTCGAATCCACAATCAGCACTGCAAGCCCAAGTGTTTCAGGTCTTCATCCACGTGTGGTGAGGCTCACCAAACTTTTGTCAGAGCCGCAGCCCTTTGCTCCTCAGAGAGCTGCTGATCCCTACCCAGCGTCGCCTTCCTGTTGCCCTTGCCACCCCCCCCCCCACACACACAATCGATACACCATCCTTGCTACACTCATAAACATCTGCTGTTGCTCCTGAAATGGTGGACAGAAGGGGAAAGAGGAGGGAGGGGGGCGGCGGAGTAATGGGAACCAATGGAGAGGTCGTCCAACCAATTACGAGGACTGGGGACAGCTTTGTGACTTGTGCTTCATGTTTGTCTGCGTGGGTGTACTACATCACAATGTGAATCATTAAGACAGACAGACAGACACACACACAAAGAGGAGAGAGAGAGGGTAGGAAGGGGGGGGGGTGTGAGTGGTGCATCACAGCTGGCCACAGTATATTCTTACGTTAATAACTAAACCATGTATAATGTAACAATTCAATATGCAGCACCAGGAAGTGTAGCGAAGAAAAAAAATTGTGCCGTCATCCTCAGAGACATTATTATGGGTTGTTAACAGCCTGAAGGAAGTGGATACATTGTCACTCTTCCGTGGACTGTTATATGGGACTACTTAAACTGCGGCGTCCCTGGTATTGCCTGTACTGACACACACACTACTTGGCATCCATACACTACACTATTAAATAACCTATACTCTTGCTTAACTTATGCACTTTATTACTGATCGCCTCGTCTCCAGTCTTCTCAAACCATATCATCACGCAAGAGATTTATTTTACGCTACACACTCTTATATTTCCAACTCCACAGCCATCTTGTGGGTGAACCAAAACCTAATTTTCCGCGACACCTTTCACCTCCAGGCTTTCAAGAACAATCCGTTGATGTCACAGTAGGTATTTTTGTCTTGAATCCAACACGCCATTTGAATTGCTCAAGGTTACTGTGCAATTTGACTTCCTGACGCCTCCAATTTGGCAGCGGCATCTATGGAGCACATACAGATTTGCTAGTAAGAGGTTGCTTTGAATTCCCTTCAGTTGGTTCCGAGGGTCAATGTCCCCCGCGGACTGGTCTCAGACAAGGCCTATCTACCTACCTGTTGGAGATTTCGAGGAATGATGTCTCGGCGGCCCGGTCTCTAGCCAGGCCTCCTGGTTGCTGGCAGAATCCTGCCTCCCGAAGCAGGATTCATCGTATTCACTTACGAAACCTATACATTTTCCTCAATCATGACTCGGAAACTGTGTAATAAATGTGAACAAAGTTGCCATGATTATGGAAAGATGTACAGGTTTTGTAAATGACTGTATCCAGGTCTCCTAAGGCATTATTTCAATGTGCAGATTTAGAACCAGTCCTTCGAACATTTTTCATGCGCAAATTGAATGGATACGGGAAGAGAAAGTTCACTCTTCAGCGGATTAATTTTGCCTAATCTGAGGATTTCGATTAAGTCTTATTAAAGTGAGGATCAGTAACTTCTCCGGATGTAAAAAGTTCCAGGTAGCACGGACTTTGGTGAGTCCATAGTGGACTTACCCGGCACAGGAGCGGGGCTGTAACTGCACCTTAGGTAACATTAATGTCTTAAATACCATCATTAGTTTTGCATCTCTTGTTTAAAAGGTCCTTGTTATCCAGCCCATAAATTTTCTTCCAGTTGGGTCAGTTCTACTGGAATTCAACTTAGACAAATGCAAGGCAGTGAGATTTGAGTAGATAACATGGCCAGACAGCACCTAAAACATCAGCGTATATGAAGCAAAGGTAACAAAAAAAATACTTTCTGAACCAATGGAGAGAGACATGCAGCGTGTTGTACACACGGGAAATCCAGTCTCCAGTTTCTAAGTGGACCTCGCCACACGTAAGAGGGGGGGGGGGAGGGGAGTTCAATGGATAAAGACAACATTCTCTAGTGAATAGATAAGATCAGAAATATGTTCAGTCAGAAGATTGGAAAATTAGAAGGGAAACTAAAGGGAGAGGTGAATGAGAGGGATGCTAAGTATTTATTTAAAGGGTGAGCAGATGGATTCGGTTAGTTAGAAGCTAATTTAATACAGTATATAAGAGAGATTGCCTAAAGCAGGCCTTAGTAGCCGGAGGATCAGGAGTATTAGACAAATCACAAATAATGCTCAATACTGCAAGCACATTTAGCCAAGTACATATAATCACATCCAAAACAGTGTAAACATTCCCCAAGTGAAAACAAACACTGGCCAATGGTTTCACAGGTGAATGTGAACGAGACCAGAGCAATACGGAAGAGCGTGGGAAGAAGACGGCTTCACAAGACTCAGGGATATGGTGGGGAAAAGCTACATCATAGGTATATCTGATATCTCTCTCTCTACACACTTCCCAGGACAAGTGTGTACAGAGATGCTTAAATGGTCGAGTCTAAGTTTTGTTCGAGAAGCTGATGCCATCACGAGTTCCATACTTTGTGAATTTACGATGATAGGAACGTCAAAATCGGTGAACAAATCCACAAGGGCCGTGACGAGGATTCGAACCTGCGTCCGAGAGCATCCCAGACGCTGCCTTAATCATTTGATGCATCACGCAATTGTGATTTCTGTGTGTAAGTCAAAATCGGTCTACTGTACTTGCAAATTTACACTATTTATTGCTGGTATGTTGATACTTTCATTACAATAGGCAAGTTTTCACAACGTACTGCAATCCTTTCTCCCAGCCTACACACACAAGAGAAGACAACCCGTCGAGACGTGAGCTGAGCTTACAAGTCCAATGGAAGGCCCGTTTTGATCGAGTCTGCTACTATGTGAAAGATGTAGGTGGCAGTAAAGCATAGTATAAAATACAGTAAGATATCCTAGTTTGTGGCAGAGGAACAGTGGGTCCAGGAAGCGAGAACCAGAGCGAGAGACGACCTTGTTACAGTACAACAACGGGTGTTTATGTAGGAGGTGGTGGAGGAATACAGCGTCTTCAAACACATGCCCTTACTGGGGGAGACAAATACAGCAAGACATTCAACAGCACCCATTAGCCCCTACTCTCCCTTCCTCTATCTTTTCCCTTTCTCTCTCTCCCCCACCTTACTCCATCTCTCCCTCCCTCCGGCATAACATTTACAGGTACAGTAGTCTTTAACGGCTTTACCTAACTTCTATACACAGTTGAGGAGTAACGTAAGAGGAATGAAAGTCATACATAAAATGTTTTAATGTGCATTAAATTATCGAGAACCACTGGAGCGCCTTTTCGCCCCATGGAAAATGAAAACATAAGATGAAAGTTAGTTTCAGTCAAGCACCCTCCAAACATTCAAAGGAGAGTAGCGCTTCTCAGGAAACATATCCGCTCATTATAATCACTTATTTTCTAATAGCCCGGCGGAACAATGACCAATTAAGGCAGTGTAGCATGCAGTTTATTACGGTCTATAAAACACGTGCAGCGACTGAAAACTCAAACATGTACACACACACACACACACACACACACACACACACACACACAGCATGTCTTTCAGTCCCCTCACTTACTTCCACTTTGTTTTATCTTGATTTATATAAAAGTCTTGTAACACTACTGCCACGACAACTACAAGCACACAATACCTCTCGTCAAAGGACAACTCTGCTACTAGAGTCTACCAAGTGGGGGGTCTCTCCCGCTCCTCTTCTCTTCATCCCTCTTCTTACACCTCTCTTCCACTATCCCCCTAATCCTCCCCTTTCCCCTCCCCCCTTTCTCTACATTCATTCATTCACTTTCACTCTCTCTCAGAAATTTAATAAGTATTAAGATTGTTGTATTAAAACATTTAGGCACATCTGCATTTGTGCAGCTGTTCTTGTTGGATTAATGTTGAGTTTGATGCGCAGGGCTTCAGTTGCTTCACATTCAAATAAGTAATGCAATAGTGGCGCCTCTGCTTCTGTTCCACAGGTATGACACTTTTAACTATTGGGTTTATTACCTCCCAGCAGCACTTGTAACCAAGTCTGTGTATGGCTACTGAAATGTCTATATATTTTTGTCAGGCTTGAAAGAGTAGTACCCAGTGGCTTGTACCACATCGCAGTGGGTCTTCCTTCCGCTACTTTGACAACTTTTGATAGTTATATATTATCTCTGTTTGCTGGGTAACAATGCTAGGAGCGAAGATTTAGTCAATATGAATGATTACATCTTGTAAATTATTCTTAATTGCATAATTTATGGTCTCCTTCAGGGCATATAATTCTGTATGCAATGTTGAGCACCCACTATTCATGCTCCAGTAAGCTTCACAGACTGCCGATTGATTTATGAAGATTAAACCACCTAAGAGG